TATATATATATATATATATATATATATATATATATATATATATATATAGGTGAGATTGCTTGCGAGTGAAAGTGATAGTGGTATTATGAGACAGAATCAACGAATGTAGGACAAAAAGTCAACGAATAGCTAACGAAACAAATAGCGGATAGCGGGCGTGAATGAAGGATGAGGAATGTGTGCGTGTGGAATCAACGCGCACTGAATAGAAGGAACGGAACGGGGGAAGAGAACACGCTTCAACGCGAGAGCGGAGCAGTCTGTGTGAAGGAAACCGTATGTAAGAACACGCGGGTGTGCGTAACTCACTCACCATGTTCTGTCTCAGCGAGTCGAGCAGTGCATCCAGCGTCTTCTCCGTAACCGCATCCTCAGCTTCCGTGGTGACCGCATCCTCAGCGTCCATGGTGATCGCCCTAACAACACAACAGCGAACGGATGCCGCGTGAGTGAGCGTGTGCGTGCGTGCGTGCGTGCGTGCGCTCGTGTGTGTGCGTGGGAGTGTGTGTGTGTATGTGCTAGAGCGCCCTATGAGTCCGGCAGTAGCAGAGCAGGTGTTCACGACGCGGCAGGTAGCCGAGGCTTTCGCACGCTGGTTGCTAGGGTAACAGCATCATCGTCGCGCATCGTATAGATATGTAACGTGGGCTGTCTGTCTGTCTGCCTGTCTGTCTGGCTGTCTGGCTGTCTGTCTATCTGTCTGTCTGTCTGTCTGGCTGGCTGGCTGTCTGTATGTCTGTCTGTCTGTCTGTCTGTCTGTCTGCCTGCCTGTCTGTCTGTCTTGCTGTCTGTCTGGCTGGCTGTGTGTCTGGCTGGCTGTGTGTCTGTCTGTCTGTATGTCTGTCTCTCTGGCTGTCTGCCTGTCTGTCTGTCTGGCTGTTCTTGCTGTCGTCAGGCATGTGCTGTGTGTCTGGCTTGGCTGCTGCTGTCTGCCTGCCTGTCGCATGTCTGTCTTGTCTGGCGCTGTCGCCTGCCTGTCTGCCTGTCTGCTAGTCTGGCTGTCCTGTCTGGCTGGGCTGCTGTCAGTCTGTGCTCTCTTCTTTCTTTCGTTCTCTCATCTCCTCATCCATCTCAGCTCTCTCTTCTCTGTCTCTCGGTGTGTCTTTCTCTGTGTTGTGTGCCTCGCTATCTTGCCAGCAGTATCTCTCATGTACCGCTGCTCGCCGTACAGCTGCTGCTGCTATCAGGTAGCAATGTTCACCTACGTCAGCGCGCGTTCGAGAACAACTGAGGCGCTAATGCTGAAGCTACGGATGCGAGCATCAGTAAGTCTGCTGCATGCCTGACACTGCTGCTGGCACCGCTGCTGCTGCTGCTGCTTGCTAACTACTGCTGGCTGCTACTGCTGCTGCCTGGTGCGCTGCTGCATACGCTGCTGCTGCACGCTGCTGCTGCCTGCTGCTGCTGCTGCTGGCACGCAGGTGAGCGAGCCGAGAGAGAGGCGGAGAGAGAAAGTGTGAGAAAGAGGCGGCGAGAGAGCGGGAGAGAGAGAGAGGCGGAGAGATACTGTAGAGGAAGAAAGAGGCGGAGAGAGATTGAAAGAGGTAGGTAGGCGAGTCATGCGCATCTACGGGTCAACCCGCGCTACATCAGCCGTGAGTCTGGCGTCACCGCCACGCGCTCCGCTGTCGATCCATTCCCCCTCCGAGCGACCCGCCGGTGCGAGCCGTGACGTCATGCAGCTACACCCGCCGCGGTTGCGCAGCCGACGCAATACGCGACGCCGATGATGTCGTCGCCTGGCAGCGTCGCGTCGTTGCTCGTGGCAACGTGGGAAGAGGAGACCGCGTGCGGGGAAGCGTTTTGCGCAGGGCGATGAAGGTGTGGGGGAGGTAGAGAGTAGCTGCACGGGAGGAGGGGAGACACGTGGAGACGGTAGCGTCGGCTGCTACTGCTACTGTTGCTGCCGCTGCTGCCGCTGCTGCTGCTGCTGCTGCTGCTGCTGCTGCTACTGCTGCTGCTGCTTCTGCTAGTTTTGCTGCTGCTGCTACTGCGGCGTTTTGCGGCGTCTGTGACGATTAAAGCATCATTGCAAAAATTTTGTTAAGTAAAGTATTTAGGTAATCTTTTCATGTTATGCGGTTAACGCCGTGAGATGGCGCTCGCGCTCACGTTTTTAACTCACTGAGAGCGCGCGAAAGCTGACCGCCATAAGTGACTTAAGCTGGGTTTGCGCTGCCAACTTCGTGTTTGCGAATTAGCGAATTGGACCAACTTCCCCACGCTCTATCAACAGTTCTATGAACTGTGCAGCGCGTTTACACTGACGAATGCGAGTTGGCCAACTCTATCGAGCGGTCGCATTGACCGCGAGCGTACGCGTGGGGCGATGGATATAGGCATTATTGCATGTATAAATTCGTGAGGTACCGCACGTACAGGCGCAAAGACTCATGCACAGTCACAGAGTCAGGATGCTACGAAGGCAGTGACTACCGGAGGAGTTGCCCATTGGATTTGTCCATGCTCGTGATGCCGACCTCCTCCTCATGTGCAAGTTCGCGTGTACGTGCGCGCACGCGTGTAACTTCCCCCGTGTACACCAGGTGTAAGTGAGTGTATCTGCCGTACATAGATCGACATGACCGCACGCGTGCATGCGTACGTGCATAGAAGCGTGCGTGCACGTACACGCGTGCGCACGCGGCTGTACGTACACACGGTCACCGTGATTTTTATATACACTTGTCTCACGTTTAAAACCATGAGAAGCTGTACTTTCGCTGTGTAGCCAATAGGTGTGTGTGTGTGTGTGTGTGTGTGTGTGTGTGTGTGTGTGTGCGTGCGTGCGTGCGTGCGTGCGTGCGTGCGTGC